CTCTCTCTGTACTCTCTCTCTCTCTACTTGTACTATATCTCTCTCTCTCTTCTCCCTTTTGTCTCTCTCTCTCTCTCTCCCTTTTCTCTCTCTATCCCTGCCCTCTGTCTCTCTCTCTCTCTCCTCGTCTCATCCTATCTCTATCTCTCTCCTCTCTTCTTTCTGTCTCGTTCTTCTCTCTCTCCTCTCTCTCTCTCTCTCTCTCTCTCCATCTATCGTATCTCTTCTCTCTCTGCTCTCTCTCTGTCTGTCTGTCTTCTTCTCTCTCTCTCTCCTATCTTCTCTCTCTCTATCTCTCCTTTCCTCTCTACTCCTTCTCTCTCTCGCTCCCTCTCTCTCTCCTCTCTATAGTCTCTTATCTCTCTCCTCTCTCTCTCGCATCCTCTCTCGTCCTCTCTCTCCCCTCTATCCTCTCTCTCTCGCCTCTCTCTGCTCTCTCCTCTCTCTCTCTCCTCTCTCTCCTCTCTCTCTCTCGCGTCTCTCTCTCATCACCTCTCTCCTCTCCCTCTCTCTCTATCTCCCTCGTCTCTATCTCTCTCCTCCTCTGTCTCTGTCTCTCTCCCCTGTGTCTCTCTCCTCTCCCCTGTCCTCTCTCATCCTCTGTCTCTCTCTCCGTTTCTCCTCTGTCTCTCTCTATCTAACTCTGTCTCTCTCTCTCTCTGTCTCTATCTCATACCTCTCTCTCTCTCTCCTCTGTCTCTCCTCCCCTCTGTCTCTCTATCTCTCTCTCTCTCTCCTCCTCTCTCTCTCGCTCTCTCTCTCTCTATCTCTCTCTCTCTCTCTCCTCTGTCTCTCTCTCTCTCTCTCTATACTCTCTCTCTCTCTTCTCTCTCTCTCTCTCCTCTCTCTTCTCTCTTCTTCTCTCTCTCTCCGTCTGTCTCTCCTCTTCTCCTCTGGTCTACTTCTCTACCTCTCTGCTCCTCTCTCTCCTCCTGTCTCTCTTATCTCTCTCTCTATTTCTCTCTCCTCTCTCTCTCCTCCTCTCTCTCTCTATCTCCTCGCTCTATCTCTACTCGTCTGTCTCTCCTCCTGTCTACTCTCTCTCCGTTTTAGTCTCTCTACTCTCTCTCCTCTCGTTCTCTCTCTCTCCTCTGTCTCTCTCTGCTCTCTCTCTCTCTCTCTTCTCCGTCGTCTCTGCTCTCTCTCTCTCTTTCTCTCTCTTCTGCTTCTCTCTCTCTCATCTCTCTCTTTCTCTCTCTCTCTCTCTCTCCTCCTGTATCTCTCGCTCTGCTCTCTCGCTCTGCTTCTCTCTCCTCGCTCTCTCTATACTCTCTCTCTCCGCCGTCTCTCTCTCTCTCTATCGCTCTCCCTCTCCTCTCTCTATTTATCTCTCTCTCTCTCTCAGTCTCTCTCGCTCTCTCTCTCTGTCTCTCTCTCTCTCTCTCTCTTCTCTCCCCCTCTCTCTCTCTCTCCCTACTACTCTCTCTTCTCCCCTCTCTATCGTATCTCTCTCTCTCTCTCTCTCTCTATCTCTCTCTCTCTCTCGTCTCTCTCATTATCCTCTCCCTCCTCTCATCTCATATTCTCTCTCGCTCGCTCTCTCTCTCTCTCCCTCTCTCTCTCTCTCTCTCTCATCTCCTCTCTCTCTACCACCACACCTCTTCTCTCCTATGTCTATATCCTCTCTTCTCTCTATACTCTCTCCTAATATCTCTATACTCTTCTCCCTATCTCTCTCTCTCTCTAATCTATCTCTACTCTATCTCTCCCTATTCATCTCTCTCTTCTACTCTATCGCTCTATCTCTCTCTCTCTCTCTCTCTCTCTCTACACCTCTCTCTCTCTCCTCTCTCTCTCTCTCTCTCTTCTCTCTCTCTCTCCTCTCGTCTCTCTCTCTCCTCTCCTCTGTCTCTCTATTCTCTCTCTCTCTCTCTCTCTCTCTCTCTCCTCTCTCTCTCTCTCTCCCCTCTGTCCTCTGTTCTCTCTCTCTCTCCTCTGTCCTCTCTCGCTCTCGTCTTCTCTCTCTATCTCTCTCTAGCTCTGTCTCTCTCTTTCTCTCTTTCCTCTCTCTCTACTCCTCTCCTCTCTCTCTCTCTCTCCTCTTGCTCTTATCTCCCTCTGTCCTCTCTCTCTCTCCTCTGTCTCTCCTCTCTCTCCTCTGTCTCCTCTCTTCTCTCTCCTGTCTCTCCTCTCTCTCTCCTCGTCTCTCTATGCTCCTCTCTCTCTCTCTCTCTCTCTCCTCTGTCCCTCTTTCCTCCTCTGTCTATCTCTCTCTATCTCCTCTGTCTTTCTCTCTGTGCTCTGTCTCTCTATTGTGCTCTGTCTCTCTCTTCTCCCCTCGTCTCTCATCTCTCTACTCGTCTCTCTCCCTCCTCATCTCTCTCTCTTCTCTATCCTATGTCTCTCTCTCTCCTCTCCTCTGATCTCTCTCTCTCTCAACTCTGTCTCTCTCTCTCTCCTCTCTCTTCCTCTTCTTCTCTCTCTCTCTCTCTTCTCTACGCTCTCTTCTCGCACTCTCTCTTCTTTTCTCTCTATTTCCTTTGTCTCTCTCATTTTCCTTTTCTCTCTCTTATCCTCTCTGACTCTCGCTCTCTCTCCTCTCTCTCTACTCTGCTCTCTCCTCCTGTCCTGTCTCTCTCCGCCTATCTATCATCTCTCTCTCTCTCCCTCTCTCTCTCTCCCTCTCTCTCTCTCTTCTCTCCCTTCTCTCTCTCTCTCTCTCTCCCTCCTCTCTCTGCTTTCTGCTCTCTCTCTCTCCTCTCTCTCTGCTATCTTCTCTCTCGTCTCTCTCGCCTCTGCTCCCTCTGTCTCCCTCTTCTCCTGCATATATCTATACCTATGTCTATCCTCTGTCTATAATAAGGTTTATAACTATTCTATCCTACTGGCTATAGATATGTCTATCCTATGTATAATCCGATGGAATCTATGCTGTCTCGCGATCCTCTTCAAGCACTGTAGCTAATCACTATCTAGCCTATCTCTCCTCGCTCATCAATTCGTCATATCTCTCCCTACTCTCTCCTCTCTCCATAGCTCTCTCTATCTCTCTCTCTCTCTCTGTACATCCTCTACCCCTCGCTCTTCATCCTCTCTCTCCCTCTCTCTCCCTCTCTCTCCTCTCTCATTCTCTCACTCTCTCTGTCTCTCTAGCTCTCTCCCCTCCATCGCAATCTCTCGGTCCATATCTCTCTCTCCCTATCTCCTATTCCATCTTTTCTCTCTTTCTCTCTCTCTATTTCTCTCTGCTACATCTCTCTCTCTCTCTCTCTCTCTGTATCGCACCTCTCCTCCTCTCTCTCCTCTCTCTCCCTATCTCTCTCTCTCTGTCTCTTCTCTCTCTCTCTCTATATCTCTCTCTCTCATCTCTCTCTCTTAATCTCTCTCTCTCTGCTCTACTCGCCTCTCTCTTGTTTCTCTCTCTCTCCATCTCTCGTGTTCTCTCTTTTCTCTCTGGATCTCTCTCTCTTCTCTCCTCCTCTCTCTCTCTTTCTCTCTCTCTTCTAATCTCCTCCTCCTCTCCTTGTCATCTCTCTCTCTTTCTTTTCTCTCTCTCTCTCTCTCTCTTTCCTCTTCCTCTCTTTCTCTCTTCCTCTCTCTCCCTACATCTCCTATCTCCCTCTCATCGCTCTATTCCTCTCTCTGGTTGTCTCTGTCTCGTCCTCTGTCTCGGGTACTCTCTCTCCTCCCTCTCACTCTCCTCTTCCTCCCTCTCCTCCCTCTCCTCCATCTCCTCCCTCTCCTCCCTCCCTCACTCTCATCCCTCTCCTCCCTCTACATCCTCTCCTCCTTTCCTCTTCCTCCTCTCTCTACTCTCTCTCCTATCTGTCCTTCTCTTCTCTCATCTCTCTCCCTCTTCTCTCCTCTCTCTGCCTCTTCTCATCCCCCCCTCTCGCTCCCCCCTATTCTCTCTCTCTCTCTTTATCTCTCCTCTCTCTGTCTCTCTCATGTTCTTCTCTCCCTCTCTCTCCTCCTCTCGCTCTCGCTCCTCCCATCGCTCTCTCGCTCTGCTCTCTCGCTCTAGATCTTATATCTCCTCCTCTCTCTCTCTCTTCTCTCGCTTTCTAGCTCTTCATCTTTTCTCTCTCTCTCTCATCTATCTCTCTCTCTCTCGCCAGCGCGCGCGCGGCGCGCGCGCGCGCGCGCGCTCGCGCGCGCGCGAGCGCGCTCTTTCTCTCTTCTCTCTTTCTTTCTTCTCTCTCTTTCTCTCTGTCTCTCTGTACTCTCATTCTCTCTTTCTTCTCTCTCTCTCTTCTGTCTCGTTTCCTATCTGTCTCAGCTCTCTATCTCTTCTATCTCTCTCTCTATAGTTCGATCTCTCTCTCTCTCTCTCTCCTCCTACTTTCCCTCTCTCTATCTCCTTACTTCTCGCTCTCTCTCTTGCCCTCTTCTCTCTCTTTCCCTCTCTCTCTCTCTCTCTCTCTCCTCTCTCTCTCTCATCCTCTCCCTATCTTCTCCCTCTCTCTCCTCTATCGCTCTGTCACCTCTCTCTCTCTGTCACCCTCTCTACGTCTCTCTCTCTCTCTCTCTTCTCAATCCTCTTCTCTCTCTAATATATACATTATGTAGATATCTCATATCTCTATCTTTGACTGTTAGAATTATAGAAGAATATTTTTAACTGCTTTATTCAAAGATCCCTTTATCAGACTTCTCCCCATCTCCCTTTTGCACCAGATGTTCTCACATCATTTCTCATCGCGTTCCTGCCGATTGTCCTCTATCCTTTCCCACCAGCATTTAAAGAGGCATTATTATATTTTCTTTCTTTCTTTCTTTTTCTTATTTTGATGTAATTTTGATCTTCTTAGTTTATCATAATCTTTCGCTCTACAAAAAGAAAAGTTTTAATTTTTATTAGACTTCTACTAGTTTTGTTAATAGTTTTATGATAATGATATCAATAATAGTAGTAGTGTTAATAGTGTTAAATATTATTATTTTTTCCTTACATATGTGATAGGAATAAAATTGAAATAGAAAGTTACATAAGATTTGTCTTTTTTTTTCACTTCACCCATTCTTGCCAGCAACAAAATATATCACTTTTATTTTCTCAG